CGAGATCCCCTGCAGCCTGTGGATCTGTACAAGTAAACACATACATTAACTGATACTAACATTCTTCATATTAGTGTCTTACTACTGTGCTACTGTTGTTCAGCAGTTAACTCTCTTTAGACCATGGTGAAGCAGGCTGTCCCTCTGCAACCCATTGTGGAGCACCTCGGAGCAGATAACCACACGGTAGCCTGTGGAGGACCCCACACCAGAGCAGGTGGATGAGCCCTGAAGAAAGCTGCAGCCCATGGAGAGCCCACCCAGGAACAGGTTTTTCTGGCAGGAACTGCGGCCTGTGGGGGATCCATGCTGGAACAGTCTGTTCCTGAAGGACTATCCCATCAAGAGGAGGATCCAAGTGGGAGCAGTTCATAAAAGACTCTATGCCATGGGAGGGACCCCATGCTGGAGCAGGGGAACAGTGTGAGGAGGAAGGAGCAGCAGAGAGGAACTGTTACAGGCTGACTGTGACCCAACCCTTGACTGACCATCCCCAATCCCTCTGCACCATTGTTTAAGAGGAGGCAGAATAGTGAAGTTGAGTCTGGGAAGAAAGGGGAGGTTGGGAGAAGGTGTTTTTATTTTTCTCTTTCTTTGTTGCTATCCTATTTTATTTTTAAATTGGCAATAAATTTAATTTAATTTTCCCCAAGGCCAGTTTGTTTTGCCTATTCTAGTAACTGCTGAATAATCTCCCCATCTTAACCTGTGAGCTTTTTAATCTTTTTTTCTCCTCCTGGCCTGCTGACAAGAGGGAGTGAAAGAGCAGTTGGGTGAGTACCTGGCAGCCAGCCAAGGTTAACCCACCACAAAAGGTTTATTCATCTATAACCATGCACTAAACCTAAACATAGGAAAAATGGGCCATTTAACTAGTTGAGGGTCAACATTTTCTGTGGCATTCCAACTCACTGTCTCTCCTCTCACTTTTTGCTTATCCAGCTCACATAAAACTGGCTGCCCTGGATCTTGCCAACCTGGCCTACTTAAGCATTTAGCATTTAATGGCATAGAAAGATGTCCAATTTCCTCCTTCACCAGAACTTGCGTATCATCAGTTTTCTTGATCTAGTTCTCATCCTGTACAAAACTAATTGCCTCTGAAAAACGGCAACAATGTTGGATTCCTTGCTACCCATTTAAAAAAAAAATCCTCTCACACAGGGTATACTTGCAAAACTGCTCGAGTCAAGTGACCTTTCTGAGGGTAACTTTCACCATCACTTCTGTCAACCAAAGTAAGTAATTTTTTACGAGTGTGTTTTAGTCCAAAGCAACCAATTTAAACGGTTTTAGAGCTGAAGTGTCTGTTAGCTACAGGTTGAGATGCACCGCTAAGTAAACAAATACATGAATGCATAATCTAGCCAGAACCTCTACAAAAGAGGTCCCTCTTTCCATTATAAACTGCGGGGAGAAGGTGTCTATAGCTATAATGATATTATAAAAGATGATGGGTGACTTGTTGAAGGTGGTAATCTGGCTTCAACTAAAGGAAGGAGAACCCCCAAGAAAGAAAAGGCCACAGACCCAACTTACTGTCTCATCATAGTTTCCTATCCTAGAGCTGAAGGCTGTCGAGATATTCTAGTGGGCAGTGAGATGAATGCCAGCTTATGGTGAGTGGCAAAAGTAGTCCCAGTGCTTAAACACAGAAAAGGGAGGAGCTTTCTCATACCACTCGGTAAGAAAGATACAACTTGCTCTTGCTGAGTTTTCTATTTATCATGTACCACCTGAAATAAGTAAACTCAAGGAGTTTCCTACCAGAGAGCGCTGAGACGAGACTTTACAAAAGCCCACAACTGGAGACTGAAGCTAGCTAAACGTTTCAGACATAAGGCACCTAACCACTCTTTCATAACTTTTTCAAATTATTGTTTCCTATCAAGAAAAGAAACACCCCACCACCACACACAGAAAAAGCAACATCCCTGAATAAAACATGCATGGGCAGCTTTCTAAGAGAGTTACTTAAATTCACCTGTACCTATTGGCTTTGAAGCTTGTATTTGTTCCAGAGTCTCAGACCAGACTGACAGAATTATTCCTTTCTAGACAAACTACTGCTAACTGTCAAGACTGATTCTTAACAGCTTTCTGAAACTGTATTTTTTAAAAAAACTGTTTTGTTAATGGCCAGTGATGCTTGACACTCTGCTTGAAATATAGGTAGCAGTGACTAGATGTCCCTAAATTTGCTTATACTTCCTGCTCAAGTCTCAGCTTTATCCTTGGCATGTTCTCAAACTGCATCTTCAGCCTTGACAGAACTCTGAAGCGTCACAGGCCAACAGAACCTCTTCTGCAGTGAAGAGGGAAGCCTGACTACTTTCTAGGACTAATCTATCCTCTGACACTGGAACAGATTTTCATGAAGACTGAGAACCCATGTTCTATCTTCAAAACAGAAGTCACACTTAGGCAACTACACATTGTCTAACCACAGAGTTTTGTGACAGCACTTCAGGTTATTGATCTTGCACGGCTTTTTAACCATCCTTCACTAAGACCGCATAACAAGTTCTAAAATGGGTCATCCTGCACGCTCCTTCCAGATTATTATCAAGAACCAGACTAGGTTTAGCGCTCAACAAAAAAAGTACTGAACAGCATTACCATACAGGTGAACTCTTCAGCAGCTATGTCCCATATGCTACAATTAGCTCTGTATAGACTTGTTAGATCTTGTCTATTTAATTAGTGTTTTTCCAACAGGTTTGCAACCCAACCTAGATTGAACAGACATTAAAGACACATCTTGCTAATGCAGAACAGCTCCACTCAGCTCAACAGTCTGTCACTTTGTGTGTGATAGCTGAAATTCTACTGTTCATTGCACCTATCTTTCTTTCTTCAAATGCATACTTCTACTTGACAGGCAATCTGAAGGTACGGTGACACACTCTAGTGCTGCATTAGATTGTATAAACACATGTACAGGCCTCCTTTGCAACCACATGCTTAAATTAATAAAATACTTATTTCTGAAGTTCTTTTACCTATAGATATGTAACAGAATACTATGTATGTTAATAGAGAACATAATAGATTCTCAAAGCGATCAAAAGTCATGGAAGAACTCTAGCATTAAGGAAGAGTAAAGCAATTTAGAAAAGGCTGTGCATGTAAATTGTTTCAGATAAACATAGGGGAATTCTGATCAGCTAGCTGCTTACTGCCCCCACTAAGAATAAAGACTGTTTCTACCCCGATGCCCTTCGACCTTTAAAATTACCAGCTGCTTGCTTTTTGTGTATTTCACAGAAGACACACAATACTTTTTATGAGAAATAATAAACCACAGTAGCAGAAGACTAATCTGCTTGTACTGAATGGGGAAACAGATGGACACTGAAACAGTCAGCAAAATTTTCCATCCTGTTTTTCTACCTGTGATTGACAATAAATTTGCTCTCAACTATCAGTTTTGCAAAGAATACTTAGCTTTGCTACCAGTGACTCTTCCATATCTTCATCTTGTTTCAAGAAGAACCTTCCTCTCCAGGCAACCAGCCAGGGCCCTCGTTTTAACATTTCCCAGATAATTTTTTACATTCTTTGGCCATGCTTATCTTCCACATAGCTCTAACTCCAGCATCGCTTAGCAGTATTTCTACCCCAAGCTTAAATAAAACATTAATGCAATTAATAAAACCAACTCAAATATGCCTTTAATCATGCTGAAAAATCAAGTTTCACTGAGTAAAGTTTCGCTTTTATTCACAAAGGCAGAAATTTACAACAAACTAGACATCCCTCATAATTAAATTATTTAATAAAGGTCAAATCCTGAGTTAGCAAAAGTTATTGCTTCACTGAAGTTGCAGTAATTGTTAACAGGCATTTTTATGTTTTTGGCTCCCAGTACGAATTCTTCACACAGCACTTTTTCAAACTTTAAATCAGAGGCAAAACACAAGATAAAAATCAAAACTGAGGAAGACTGTAAATATCAGTGCAGCTTTAGTTAACTAGCTGTGCATCAGCTAGAGTACAGTACGAAACATTTGTTGAGATTCAAGACACAAGTGTTATGAACTAAAACTCTGTTTTTCAAATCATTAATAGCACTTTTTTTAAAAAAGTAATAAATGCATAATATAGGGATTGTAGTTTCAATCAGATATAATCAAGTGAGTGATGATTAAAGCACATGTTAATGTAGAAAGACCCACTGGTTTTAAGATACTGATGGCCAGTTTGTTATAATTACAGTAATTAAGCCTCCATGAGTCAGTTGACAATCTTTACGAAGATGTACCTTGCAACAAATTAAACCGGTTCTTGCCAGTATCATACACAACTACAGAACATACACATCTACAGAACAATTTGAAGGAAAAATACCTGATCGGGGAGCTGCCCTCCATCACAGCTCACACAAAGTGTCACAAAATTTTCTTTCACATGCCCTGCAAACCTCCCAGTACTAGCATGTTTTTACTCGAAATGATGATGCATGCACAAAATCTGCTTTGCATGTGATTTGGCATTACTCTTGAGATGAACAAAATACTAACCTGTACAATTTGTAGCATGGTATTGATGTCACAGAATGTTTTATATATAGTTCGGAAAAAAGCATGAAGAAGTTTCTTCAGGTAGAGTTCTTTGAATTTCAGAAACTAACATTAACTATTAGACTGCACTGAAAAAAAGCTAAGAGTACAAAAACCCAAAGAGGTTAGTGGCTTCTGAACTCAAAGCTTGTCAATTAAAACTGGAATATATTCTAAATCACTCACAGTCATTTATAAAACCCCTCCTGTGGAAATAAAACAAGAGCAATCCAGAGATATCAGACATCTTTTTAAAGATGACTCTTCTTGATATTTTTCCTTATGGAAAGCAAACTGTATTTTAAGAAACAGTTAAATGTATTACCGAGTCTCTCCAGAGGAGATACCAAAAATTAGCCAATTCTAATAAATTAGAAGATAACTTGAAATTTAGAGTAGATTAATTACAAGACATCCCTATCAAGGAGTGGGGACATCCCTATCAAGGAGTGGGGACTTAGCACTCTTGCATACAAAAGAGCAAGTCACATGCTTATATGCTGATACAGAAAGATCCCAACAAGAACAAAACTACAAGATGATCGTTAGATCAAACTTACCCACTCAAGTTTTAACACTGAAGAGACAGGCAAAAGGGCAGAAACTAAGTTTTTAACAGAAACGTATTATTTGGAAAAGATAATCTAGATAAATAATTACGACATTCCATCATAACATCAATTTTTCTGCATTGTGCGTTTGCCAAGGACTGGGAATGCAATATACAGAATTAAGCATCATAGCATCCAGTGACGGAAGTAATGTTTAGGACTTTGCCACCTCTGCCCTCCCCATGGGAACAAGTATCTTTTAGCTGAAGATCTTACTTTAACAGGACGGATAGGATTGGTAGGTGACAGTCCCCACATGTGCGTGAAGTACGGTTATATTTTGCATAACATCAAAATGATTTCATGAGGCCCTTTCATTACTATTGCCATCATATTATGCTAGCGTTGCGTCCTCAAATGCAATTTTCATTTTAAGAAACCCACTAAGTCAAACTGCCATTTCAGTGGAAGAACCAGGGTGAACTGTATTCACATTGACACAAAGTATCACTATATCCCCAAGACAGCAGTAGTCTTTAAATACTCAAACTGCCAAAGAAACACCATTTGTCGCCAAAGTACTTTAAATTCTTGTGAAAGTCTCTGGCATCTTGTTAGAACGTGTTTGCTACAACAGCATTCTGCATCAGAGAGATTACCCTATTAGCGTTGCATTACTGTCAACATTAAAAGACAAAAAGGTCGTAAGTGCAGGACCAACCAGAAGAAAATGTCCAGTTTGGAAACCTCTCCAGTAAGGCATAGAGTTGAGGTGACTTTTGATCTTCCCCAAAAAAGTAATGTGCTGCTATGGCAAGGGAGACTATTCCATCCGAATGCTTTTCTGGGGCCTGAAAACGAGAAAAAGGCAACAGAGTCTTCGATTGTTTATGGCTTTTAAACATAAGATCAATCCAGATGTACTCTTCTACAGACTTAATCCTGCAGCTCTTTGTCCAGTATGTTAAAACACTTCCTATCTTCAAACGTATCAGTCTGATTACATGATGAGTTCAATTTGAATTGAACTTGCAACTAGGTATTTAGATCACAGTGCCTCTGACATGTTACGTAGCTTGCACATGCTTTAACTTCAACGTTTCTATCTGTTGGTTTTGCTGACAAATTAAGACATGGACTCAAACATAGCATTTATACTGATCCTTCTATTGTGAATCCTTAGATGAAAAGCCTTTTCTGTCTAGCTTTGCCACTATCAAAGCTTGTCACGCTGCAGATTCCTGTCTGCCTTTATCAAGTACCCTCAGAGGATTATTTGGTTAAGTGTTTAGACTGTCTGATCCAGGAAGGAACAAGAGACTTTCTTGTAATATTTACTCAAAGAATAAGACACTGTTAAACCTATAATAAAAACATACAGATCTGGAAAAAGTTCTTCACTGGCATGTTAATGGGGGGGTGGCTGGTGAGGGGATCATAAATCCCACTGGAACAGCAAGGCTGCAAGCCTTCCTTCCAACCGAAAATAATGTAAAAGAGAATTTACAAAACAAAGCTTTTTACAACTTTCTTCAGCTTCCAGGCAGGTAAGTTTCCCACCAAGGACTCCCTGTAATTTCCCAAAACCAAGCAAACAAAATACATGAAAAGGAAACTACTCACAACAGGAAAAAGAACTCTGAAATAGCAGTAATAAAGATGAAGCTTCAAGAACTATGAGTTTAAGACTGGAGAAATCCAAACTTAACAACCTAAGACCATGCAGAAAAGGAAAATATTCTCCCTTTGGCTGTTTGGCAAGTTAGTGGACTAAGCATCAGAAATATATGTGAGCTGATATATAAAGTTGAGGGACAAATTAAAAGAGGGAAGCTAGAATTAGGATCTATCAAATAAAGCAAAGCTTAAGAAAGTTATTATGACATTTTTCACATAAGAATGCAGAAATGATGACAACAGGGCAGACCAAGGGATCGCTGGGTTTCCAGCAGCGGCATACTCACCGTCAGTTCTACCCAGAAGTGCCACGGTGTAGCCTGCAGCCCATGGGAGTAAAACACAAAGTAGTCTCCTCCTAGGCTAGCAACTGGCATACCATCCCCGAAAGACCAGGTGGACAGAGCTGACCCTTCATGTGGCCGAACATACAGAGACATGTGACTTGGACCTGCAGAGACAGGGATATGTATCCAGATATATCAACAGGTGGAGGTAGAACAACCATCTGTTTTCCTATATAGTAGCATGTTATCTGTGTATTACTATTCATGTCTTCCAAAACATGAACACAACTGTATTCTCTACAGAAGAAGCTTCTATTATTTCTAAGTGGTGAGATAAATGAGATGATGTAGGAGAGGGGAAGAGCTATAAAATGGACTTTAAGAAAGGACTTGCTATAAAAAGATCAAGGCTTACTCAAAATAGACAAGGTTATCAGTCCCCCAAATAACAACTGCAACACAACACTCACAGCTTCTAGTGTGTTATGAAACTGAATTAATTCATGCTAATCTCACAAAGCTCACTATCTTGGGAATGGCACTAGAACCTGCAGTACTGGAGTCAAAACCTGATTCATTATGGGCATAAAGATACACAAATCACAAACCAGAGGCTTCAGTCACTCACCAGATACTTCAAAGCTTAACCTCATGGAGTTCCCAGGCATCAGCTCCTTGGACAGAACTTTAAAGTGAATGGGGCTTCTTGGAAAAACTTCTGGAGCGGGAAGATACCAGTTCTTCCTGGGGGGGGGGAGGGGGAACAGTTTTCAGTTATTCTCAATGCAACACTCAGAGGTACTAAATAGGAGAAGCCAAGAAGTTTTTGTATAGTGTAGCTGACTGTGCTGTTACTAAATGAAATATTCAAAAGCTACTGATTCTAGCAGAAGGCAGGTAAATTTAGCAGCTTGTAGCCGGACAAATATTTAAAGGGCATATTAATAGAAAAGTAGTCACCAGTGTGTTCATTCATTACCTTCATGTGCCTTCATTTACAAAACAATAAAATAAGTATGAATATTTGCATCTTCAAACTGTTACGACTTTTGCTCACAAGATTCTTGGTGTATGAGAAATAGTCACAGCAGCTAGCTTTCTTCTGTGGAGACCCGCTACTCGAGACTTCCTCTGCTGTCACCTGGGGTGAGCGGGGGAAGAAGGGAAGAGACATACATACTCCTACTCTGAACTGCCCTTTAGAAGGCCTCCCCTCCACCTTTTTCTCCACTGGTGCTGACACCCATTTTCTACACATCAACTTCTACAGCTCCTGCAGCAGATCCAGCAATCTCTTGCAGAGATTCTGTCAGAAGTCACTGCATCTAGACAGAAGTTTAAGTGTCTTCTGAAGTGGAAGGATTACTTACTTTCAGACCAAGATTAGCCTTACTTTTTCTTCCCTTACATAAGCGAGATTGCATAAATGACCAATGTGCTTTGGCAGTAAGTGCTCAAGAGAAGCAGTGTTCACACCAACCGGAACATGAAATGCACTGGCAGAATCCAAGGGAGGCCACAGAAAGGAGCCTGCTCCTCACATGGAGTTCTAATGGTGTCATTGATTTCAGGTACATGGGGAGTTATGTGAGATATTCCATTATAATCAAATCCATTAATCCATATACCAGAGTCACTTTTAACCATATTTCCATCTAGATCATGAAATCTTCTGCTCGTGTGCTAGAAGAAGGAAAAAAGAAAGAAGATACACAGAAAGATGATGGAGCCTGTGCAGTTCACAAGATCCAGAAGTGATTCTGAAGTATCCTCCATGTCAATCCTTAAGGTCTACTGCATTTTCAGTCTGCACTGAACACATATCTGACTATTTATGAATATATATATAGAATTACTCAGATAAAAGAAACATACCATAAAAACACCTACATTCAGAAGATGACTGTGCCAGTAAGTATTTGCTCATCTCCCATCATGTTATCTTTTTAAGTTATCATTACTTACTCAACTCTCCCACTTAAAACTCCCTAAAAAACCCTGCTCTTCTGACACAGATGAACTGTACACAGAGATTGAACAAGGGAAACATTAGCAATTCTTTCAACTCCAGGAATAATCATTAGAGCTTTTAAATCAAGCAAGAAAGGGAAGGTTACTCTTTTTGGGGCAGGGGGTGCTTAAACTTTGAAAAAAACCCAAACACTCTTGCAACCAACAAAGGCAATACGATATGCAAGACTTTTCTTACCTGGAGGAAAACTCGCTTAGGCTTTGGATTAGCTGCATCAGAACTGTAAGGAAAGAAGATTCCACTACAAACGAGAATCAGAGTGACTACAAACACAGTAGTTAAAGTTATTAGCGTCGTTTTTGTACTTTTGACAAGGTAAATGAAGTTAATCTAGAGAACAAAAAGACAGCCAAGTTATAAAACTGCAAGACTTAAGAAATAAGACACTACTCATATAACTCTAACATCCAGTTATGGAACTGAAAGTACATTAAAAAGGTATCATTGCAAGTACTACCTGACACAAGACACTTCTTTGTAATCTCAGTATTTAAAACCAAAAGGAAGAAAGTGAGTACTTCCCAGACCTTTCAAAAATTTCCTATTTTTTAAAAAATCTGCCAACAAAAACCTAGAATCTTTGTAGCAAGGGCAGCAGAAAAAAAAAAACCCTGAGAATTTTTTTTGAAGTGTACTATATGTATTGTTCAGCCACATACTATACTTCACCTAAAACGAATGCCTGTTCCAACTCCAGCATTAAATTGCATATTTTACACCAATCTTTACTACATCATCACAGAGCAGATATATTTTTGTAACCCCTGCTTCAATAACTTTTCTTTGACTAACACAAAACATGGAATCTTTGACGTTTTCTAGAAGTCTCCTGTAACATTTAAGATATTGTCAAATTATCATTAACTTCAAGTATTAATTTAGAAAAATATTGATTCTAAACTCTAGAGAGAGTTTAAGTTTTAAACAACATTTACAAATTCTGCTTACAAAATAGGATGACAGAATCATAGTGATGACCACAATAAATCCTGCCAACACCACATCTGGCAGAATTTCTGAACCACTTCGTCCCATGATAGGCGTAAACATTTCAAATACAGTCCAACTAAGATACATCATATACAAATAGGGAACAAACATTCCCAGCATGTACATCATGACAAACTTCATTGAGGCACCTGTAGAGGACAGAAAAAAAACAAAAGACAAAAAACGGTAGAAGTTTAAAAGGACATAAACACACAGCCTTTACTAATATATCCATATACTGCTGCAAGGCCCAATACACAATACTGGTCCTCATCCCTGACATGGATATGGAAAGGGGATCTCATTTTGCATAGCCAATGCCAATATAACTCTTTCAAAGCCACCACAAAACTATTCTTGTATTACAAAAAAAATTTAAACAGGTGTTCTGTCCCAAACACTGTTTAAATATTGCAATATTTTTAACAAGCTTTACTGTCCATTGAAGTATCTGATCACTTATTAATAATCCCGCACAGTATTTTTCTTCTTAGCCTGAGACACAGGATGTTTTTCAGTGTATTTTTTTTTTTTTTAAAGAGCTTGTCCATACTTTCAAACTGTCTTTAGTTTAAGGACACTTTTTTCTTGTTACAGAAATGTCACATGGTTACTTTGACTATTCAAGTTCAAAGTTTGGGATTTCTTTTGCTTAAATAATAGAGTTTGGAGGAACATACTCAATATACAATAGTAGGGGTAGATGTTTTGAACGACAACCTCCTCCCCTCAAAACTCATACCTTTTTGGCTGAATTCTTTATGGATCATCAGCTTAGCGAGTAAAGGAAATGCTACCCATAACGTACAAATGAATGCTGAACAAAGGCCGATCTGAGTAATCACAGCCAATGCTATAGACCAAATCATCAATGAGGCATCAAAAAAAATATCTCCCAGGTACTGCTCATTCATATTCTGTAACAAAAAAAGCAAATACACTCATTACTAAGCATATTCCATGTATCACGCCATGAGAACACAAAGAAAAATCTTTATTTCTTGTATATAATTGTTTTCCTTGGACAAAGCAATTTTGACAAGCATCATCTCACCATTCTCTTAACCATTTAGAGTTATCCATGACAGTACACTTTTTTTTAATTTTTTAAATCAGCTCTGACATAGCTTGAAAAAGAGATTACATGGGCTGGGCTGGAGGGAGGAAGGGAATGTACAAATGACAATACCAAGAATATGGAAGGCTAATGTTTCAGGTACACAGGCAAATAGGGCTTTTTTTATAAAAAGCATTGGTATTTGCGAAGCATCTAAAAAAAGTTACACAGTACTTATGTGGGAAAAAGTTACCTGTATCTCCTGAGATTCTAAACTTGTTTTTGAACAGCAGCTGTTAATACACTTCTTATACAAGCACTGTTATTAGTGCACAAATATTATACTGGTGCCTTTATAAGTCATGCCACAGCTGTCACTTCAGAAGTCTGCTTTTTTAAAGATATTATTTGTTTTGAAAAAAAGACATGCATGGGTCAGATACTACCAGATACGTTTTCAGAAAAGAAGGAAGTTTAACCATCAAAAATGTGGTTTGTTTTTGTAGGGTTTTTTTAAGTTACATGGGCAATGCTACAGTGTTTGCAGTGCAAGATTCTTAATTGTCATTCCT